AGGAAAATGGAACGAATGTCGACCGTGCAGGTGGCGACGCTGGAACTGAAAAGGAACGTACGCTGCGCATGAAGAGGAGGAAAAAAGGGATTCGAGGAAAGAGGGTGAGGCCGTACGTGCTGGATAAAGAGAATGAATTAAGGATGGAGGATCAAAGCGCTGATGCCAACGACGCAACAGATCGGCACTTTCTCGGCAATATTTGACTGTTGGTGAAGAAGGCTGTACAGCCTCAAAGAAACTGCCGCAGAATGTGAGAAGAAGACGTCGTGTCAGACGGTACGGGATCAGCAGGACAGCTGAAGACAATGGGGTACCGACAATAGACTTGGGGACGACAACAGCGCGACACAAAGTGCTATTTTGCGACAAAATCGAGGCTCGTGATTGTTGTCAACCGCAAGAGGAGACGAGGAGTGAGGAGGACTTGAGAGGTTTGGAGATGTCCTTACTAGAAATTTAACGGTTTGCGCCCCAGTCGCAAACGCGGGCATCGTGTCCACGTGTACTGAGAGCTGGTGAAATTTTGTTCCAGACGTCCACAGTTCCGGCCTTTTTGAGAGGCGTACAGTTCGTCCACGAATGGTTCACTTAGGACCATGTCCAAGGGCCCAAACAGAAGAAAAACTGCCAGACAGCTCGCTGCTAGCGACAGAGCTTCGGACGAGTCACTACTGGTCGTAAGAATTATTTATGACCCCGAACGAGGCCGGGGTCCCGTCCATAATGTCTATCGCTACTGTTGAACTGGTCGCCAGGATGTTGGTCACAGACGTGAAACGTCATCAACGATCCTTGAGGATCAAGGATATGAAACGAGATAAATGGAGGAGCACAAATCGTATCGTATGAGACGCGCAAGCACGACGTGCGCTCGATTTCTGGGCGGTCGGTCGTTCATGCCCTGGACTATAACGGATGTGTCGGAACTCGCATACATTTTAGTTTCTCTTTGGCGAGGGGAATCCCTCCTACTTAGAGAGAAGCTGCGAATTCGCTAAGGGAAAGCTACCTGATAACCCAACGGGCATTGTTGACAAAGACATTGTCCGATCGCACGCCGTTCGCTCAAGCGTATATGGGTAATCTCTGTTGACATTGCTCGGGAAGTGGGAGACACTTTTCCCCCCCTCCACAGTGGTGATCGTAGGAGAAACGATAACGACGTACATATACAGGTACACACTGCCGGTCGATAGATTTGACGTGTACGACGCTTTCGTAGGAGATGACTGCTTGCGCCGCTAAAAAAGGGGTACACAAAAACGATGCGACGGTTTGTTTAAGGAAACGTTTTGCTCAGGGTGAACACAAAGGACACGGGAAGTTTGTCGAAAACTACGAACGTTTTTCGTACGGCTAATTCTCAAGTCCCTAGTTGCCAAGGGGACGGAGGACTATAAATTATTCACTTTGGAGGGAAGTCTGCACCACGTCGCGTGCGCATGTAAGCGCGCTATGATTGAGATTTCCCCAAGACCGGTTGCCGGTTTGGCGACCAAGGAGAGGAAACCCCATATCAAGGGTTAATGTGGTTGTCGTCGACGGGATATTCAAGGGCGGTATGGAAAACCGAAAAACCAAAAATGATGAGGGCAACCTTGGAGGCGCAACGAAGCGAGTCGGTTG